AATCCTGAAATGCACAATCCTGAAAAGATCAAATCCTGAAAGTGGTGAGAAATGTGATGAACACAAAGAGGCCTGTGATAAAGAATTAGCCTTACCAGATTTGGAACACCTCTGGCATCTGTACTACTACTAGATTGAATAGGATTTCCTTATATAGAGTAGTTGGCAGGTGAAAACTTGGAATATGCTTAAAAAGGACAAGACATAGCAAGGTTATACCCAACTGGAAGTACTTGTCTGGTCACCGAGTCATGTGAGCCGCCTTAGTTGTATATTCTTTAGCTACTTCGGTAGTATGACTAGGGGAAGATCCTAGGATGAGATCTGGAAAAAGGAACAAGTATGAAACAGAACACAGGAACACCAACTTTAAAATACCAATATATAATACTAGAAGTAGTGCAATATGTACTCCGAAAAACTCAGTTGGAAGTTTTGACGCCCATAACCTGTGAGACCCACCAATTAGGGAAGTATCTGTTATCAAGTCCTACATGCATATTATCAACACTATACGTAATAAAGAAGATTGTGCTTGAGATACGAACAGAGTTACGGCAGCATTACAAATAATGGCTTGAGATATGAACTCAGTAACAGCAGACAACATGTACTATACCAATCTGAAAGTAGCCGTGAAGTTACGCTTGCCTGGTGCCCCCTAGTGGGATCTGTAACGGATACTATACTGAAATCATATTGGGAGTGTAAGGTTGTTAGTATAAGAAATGTAGAAAATATATTAGAGTTAGAATATGATATTTAGTTAGTGGTACACAAAATCCAGGTAATATATGAGTGGGACATGGACAGCTCTAGTAGGTATAGATCATAGATAATTAGTCTAAGCCACTGTTGTATTATTTTTGTATAAATGTATGTAATTGATATACATATATATCTAATAAATAACAAGAGACAAGATCTCACATTAAAAAAAAAATATATATATATAGAGTTATGAGATTTTAGATTTAACAGTAATTACATAACTGATTTTGCTAGTTATACTAAGAGGTTCTAGTTGGTGACTTTTGTTATAGTTTAAGTTTTAAACCCGTGGCCTGGCTGTGATTTGGTAATACTAATAGCCTAAATAACCTGAAGCCACAAGAATATTGTAAGGCTCTTAGATGGTGGATGAAGGCTTAGAGATGTAATTCAATCTTGGTGATTAATTACTCCTATTGTCCAATAAATATTAAATAGAGAGTAAGTATTTTAGGAAATATTAGACACAATGATTGTAGAAAATATTTGGAACAACGATTGTAGGCAATAATTAGTACATCCTGAAGATTGATTGAAAAGAAGATAAGCCTGAGATTAAAAATAGTGCCATAGCTCTTAGTAAAGTAAAAAGTATTTAAGGTCTGGGTTTTCGCCTTATTTAAGTTTCTTTAGACCATGCATTCTAAACTACATATTCTTAGACTATAAGTCTCTCTTCATAATTTAGAACCCACGATATCTTAATTATATAGTTTATATTAAGAATCAAACTCCCCTTGTATTTTGAGTTTATTAGTTTAGTTTATTCTTTTCTTTATTTTCGTATTGCTTTTCTCATTTTATCGTATATAATAAATCCTTCCCGATAATTAAGTTTGATCTGTTAAGCGATAATCTGACCCAACTTAAGAGTTTCGTGACAACATACCACGTGTATAAGTGTTATAAACCCAAACCTAGTTAACCATCAGAGCTAATCTCAAAACCAATGACAACCCTATTAATTAAACCCTATTGAAGGTTTAATACTCTATTGATATCCTATTGGTCCCCAATTGGTAACTATTGATCAAATAGTTTACAAATAGTAGAGACCCTATTGGATAGTTAGTACCCTATTGGTACTCTATTAATACCCTATTGATATCCTATTGGTATCCTATTGAGTATTTTTCCTCTATTGATACCCTATTGACCTCCTTTTGCACCAAAATCTGGCAGCAATAGAGAGGCTCTCTATTGATACTTATTTTACTGATATAATGGTAATTGCCTGAGTATTCAAATCACTTATGTCTATCTAACTTTTTTGTAGTGCTATCAGAAGATATTTCAAAAGAATCAAAGTTTAATACCTGGGATGAAGTAAAGAAGTTATTTTTCGAGTATGGTGCAAAAAATAGATTCTGTATTAATAAATATAAAGTAAAGCATAATGAAAAAACTAGTACAATATATAGTAGAACCTTTATCTGCAAGTTTGGAGGAAAGTATAAGTCAAAAAAAAGATCCAACAGCGATACAAAAGGTACACAGCGTAATACCAAAACAAAAAGGATAGGATGTCAATGGCATTATAACCTCTCTCTAGGTGTAACACAGGTCAAAAGATAAAAAATCAGGCACAAATCAGGTACCCAATTTTAAACTGATTACTACCTGATTACCACCTGATTTATGCATATTTTTGTACCAAAAATTTGGTACAAAAATATGCATAAATCAGGTAGTAATCAGGTAGTAATCAGTTTAAAATCGGGTACCTGATTTGTGCCTGATTTTTTATCTTTCGACCTGTGTAAATAAATACAACTATAAGCTCATAAAAGAAACTCAAGAATTTGGAATAGCATATAGATTATTAAGTGAAGAGGCTTTAAAAAAAGTAAAAGTTATGACTAAACATGCCAATTTATCGATCACCACTTAAAGAAACTTGCTTAGAGCCCGGTTTTCTAATTTAAATTTCCAAGACATGGATCTTCATAATGCAATTCAAAATATTAAAAAATCAAACCAAAGTAAAAATAACAATGCATCAACATTACTTACGTCATTGATAAAAAAAAAAATACTTGAGCCACAGTGGGTTGTTGAATTTGAACTGAATGAAGAAAATAGATTAACTCGGCTTTTGTGGATATTACCAGAACAAGTAAATCTGTAGCTAAAATATCATGATATGGTAATTAACGATAATACGGCAAAAACAAACCAGTACCAGATGCCACTAGGCCTCTTTGTAATAATTAACAACAATAGAAGAACGCGATTAGTTTGTCAAACACTAGTTAGCAATGAAACAATAGACACTTATATATGAATCTTATAGTCTATTAACAAAGCAACATGTTAACCACCAATAGTAATATTCACAAACGCAGACCTTGCATTGGACGCAGCCATTCCTATTGTATTTCCAACCACTTATGCGGCCCATTGCATATATCACATCAGTTAAAATCTTCCTAAGAATTTAAAATCCAAGTTAGGTGATAAATGGGAAAAGTTTATTAAAGATTTTTACCGATGCCAAAATAGTTTGTATGAGCCACTTTTTGAGGAACGGTGGAATAACATACTGCAAAAATATCCTATAACAAAAGACTATCTGCAAAGAATACTTTATCAAAGTTGTTAGTTATAGGCACGTGCATATTTATTCAAGATATTCATAGCAGATACTGAAAGTACCGCACATGTAGAAGGATACAATTAGGTCATCAAAAAAGAATTAGGGGCAAACGAATCATTATGTGACCTTGCTGATATGTTGGACTAACGATTGAAAAATGAGACTTAATGGAAACAGTTCTACGAATATAAAATATCAACTATACTGTCAACAGCACCTATGGCCGGTCAGAATCTTTTTCCTGAAATTAACAAAGTTCTGAATGAATATTTGACAGAGACAATCAATATCACAATTAAAACAGAAATGAGCAAATGCCTTTTTATGAATGCAAATAAAATTGATTTTACAAATGAAGATTTAACTCGCGAACAGGTAATAAATAATGTGATGTTAATAAACTTATCTTTAATGATTTTAGTAACAAAAAATAAATATAGGAAATGGTTAAGCAAGCCTGTGATGGATTTATAGAAGATCAAGATGGTGCACGAAATATAATGCTTCAGACCATGATCGATGAAATTGGATATAAAGATTCAAAGAAAATTTGGAAGATTACTGACATGCATAAAGAAAAAAAACACCATGTTCACTTCATAGTCATTATTAATCTAATCTCCTTTTTATGTTCATGTTTAATGAATATTTCTAAAGGCATTGTATGCCAACATTTCTTTTATGTAATGATGCACTCGTCTTTAGTGACATTCTATATATCGATAATACCTAATCATTGGTACAAGGAACTGTATTAAGATCTCATAATTTTAGAAGAGGATAATTTTGTGTTTAGTCATGAGAAAGATGCAGTCAATACGTATTTACTAATTCCCCCCCAAGTTTCAATATTTTGACCAATCAGAATGCAAGATCAGGTGTAACGTGAAGATCAAAACAACAACTGCTTTTTTTGAAAAGTCACACTTATCACAAAATTTCATCTAAGAAATCACCTATTATGCATTAATAAAAAAAATTTCTTGCAAAATTTTAGTATAATATTGCCTATAACTCTAACCCCAAACCCTAACTGAGATGCCACATTTTAATCAGGAGGTGATATGTAAATCGGCACAAATAATCCCAACTAATCAAAACTTGGGGAGAAAATTAGTAAATGCAGTCAATACAAGCCCAATAATTTGAAAGCCAATTACTATGCCAACCACTCTGCCAGTCACAACTTCAGTTGTAAAAAAAACTATTCATAAAAGAAATCAATATAGGCGAATTTGGGGTCTTGTATGTGAAACAACTCGACTTGCTGTAGATAACAATGACAATGAAATAATTCAAATCCTAACAAAATATATTAGCAGATTGAAAAACAAGAATGAGATTAGAACACCAGCTACAACTATAGAACAAGATCAAATAAATCAAATATCCAATTCGATAATCCCCAATACAATTGAGCATCCAATAAATCAAATGTCAGATTCAACAGATTCAACAATCCCTAATACAAATAAACAGAGCGTTAATAATAAAGAACAATATGAAGAATCTAATGAACCCATTTCAACAAGTATCAGTAATGTTCGAAACTTCTCTAAAGTCACTGGCAGAGGAAGGCCTTCAAAATATAGATATGTAAGCAGCATTGAGAGGAAACAAATTTGTAGTGGAGATTCAGCTTATAGTAGAAGTTCAACTTGTAGTGAAAGTTTAACTCATGGTGAAAGTTCAACTGGTGTTGGAAGTTCAGCTCGTGGTTGAAGTTCAACTCGTGGTAGAAGTTCAACTCGTGGGTCTTATAAGTGTCGCACATGTGGCCAAACTGGCTATAATTCAGCCTTTTATAAAAAAAGATAATTAGGTTGCTGTGAAAATTAGAACAAGTTCATTAGTAATATTGGTATCGATATAAAATGATAAAGAATCTTGTACATATATATATACATTCCTGTATTTCTGTATCTGGATTACTATAGTAAAACTAACAGTATAACTAAGGTCTTTGCTGTTACAAAAGTCAAATAAAACAAGTAATAGATGTCAGAAAAATTTTGTTAGCAAAATGCTCATACACTTTATATATACCGTATGTTGTGCGTCAAATTGAAATGTGTTAAAATAACCGATAAGGATAAGTATTGCATAGCAGTATACAAATATAGCAAATATTACGCATATCATATAACTTTGGAAATATATGATAACTTTATATCTTGCATGAAATATATGAGTTTTTTTATTAAAAAATTTATTTTACACAAGATCATATGATTAGTAGCATGAATATAACGTCAGTATCTTGTACATAGACACATCTTTTGTTTCAATCCTTTTTTGACATTTAGATTTAATCAAATCCATATTGAATCTTGTATTTAAAGCTATTTAACCAATTCAAGTAAATCTCTCTGAACTAGATATTCAAATTTGAATCTTGTATTTAAAGCTATTTGACTATTCTGAGTAAAACTTTCTGAACTGGATATCTGAATTTACCTATAGTTAGATTTAGAATCGAAACACTATGTCAACATATATATAGTGCCAGGCATAATATTAGAATATATAATATGTGACACATAATGTTATTATACCCTATGTGCAATATATAGATATTATGCATAGTGCGATATATAAATAATTCCTATATAAAAAATATATATTTATTTAATTTAAATTACTGTATTTACATGAGGTGTGGCGACTTAGTATAGTAGTCTAGTCATCATCTTCTTCAAGTGGCAGGTCTAGAGTTTAAATCCCATGGACGACGATATTTGAAAAATAGACTTGTGTTCGGTTGACGGCTATGCTTATTGGTTGGATCTAATCTGTAACTTCAGTCACACCATCTAGTAATGGGAGCAATGGTACAATAAATTCGAGAAACTGGCATAACTGAAAACCCATTTGGGAAGTCCCGAGTTAGGAAGTAGCAGTGATCTTTGATGGTATCACAAGAAGACTGAATTTGAACCGGGCCCGAAATTGGAGAACCAAACGACCAGGTCCTAATGGCAGAGGACACACCAGCCGAATCACTGGGTTCTGTCATACCGGAGGAAAAGGATATACGCTTCAAAAGTATGTACCAAGGGGAGGGCATCCTTCAGGTACCTAAAGCCTGGGCAGACTGACTCTTCTGAGTTGCTGGCTGGAAGTAAGGGAGAGACTAATAAAGAATCTGGATAAGAAAATGGTCTAAATGCAGATACCACAATTCGCCGTGAACCTAATAGGCAACTAATTAGGAAGGTAATAGATCTGGGAACTACAACACCACGGGAGAGAGACAGAGATATATAGTAATATATATACTAGATCAGTACTGGTACTAGTTAGTTGCAGGGGTTCAATAGTTAGCCCTGACCCCAAGTGCATGGGTCAAGCTATGGCATAAAGTTACTGAAGTCTAGATGAATACATGGGTGGGACATATACCCTAGCAATGAGGCAGCTGAGGCCTGAGGTTATATGATATCTTTAAATGTGCTGCACCATATGTGGGGTATTGTGGCTAACATTCTGTAAGATAACTGGGTTGGGCGTCCTGTAGGGAAAACCGTCTCATAGTCTGATGTAAGCAGTTGGGTGCTCTGGAAAGCAGGGCATGACAAAGCCTAGCTAATCTTCAGTACGTATTACTAATAAAAAAAAAAAAAAATTACTATATTTACAAATATATATATATTTATTATTTATTCTAATTTAATTATATTAATTTATATTAGTGTTTTAATCTGTAATTCGATAATTCAGATTAAATGCAGATATCCTAATTTGTAAATTTTAACAGATATATTCTTAATAAATGTCAAATTAAGAATAAGGATTATATGGATTCTAATCCTAGATGATTACTATAAAAAAAAAAAATCAAGCTTCAGATTTGAGATAACTTTTGATATTTGGATTTTTTATGCTTGTTGTAAACATGATAGAATAGATCACAACTCTAAATAAGGCATGATTAAATTCTCAAGCAAATCGTCTGATCCAACATTATATTCTAGATTCAAGCTATTAACTTGCTTGAGAATTCTAAATCCAGATTAAATCTGGATATATACTTTCAGAAAACTACTTCATCGCTGCATTTTACAAAAGCAAGAGCAATATTTAGCAATAAATAGTGCTAGTCTTGGCAGATTAAAGTTTATCAGTAAATTTATTTGCTTGGCGGCTTTTGGATTTCTCATTGAGAACCAATTTACTGATTTAAGTTTTTCTATCAGCCACCAAATTGCTAAAAATCCCAATGAGCTCATATTTAGTATTAGTTGATTTCTACTATCTAGATTTATTGTTTTTGTACTCCCAATTGACATATTGAAAAATAACTATTTTTGCTAGTTCTCAGTTTTCATAGAGACTATATATATGAATTAAAGCAGGAAAAAGTTACGCCAAATTTGTTTTTTTTGTTTTTTTTTATTTATCTAAATAAACCTAAAAAGATACAAATCAGGTTACAGACTCAAATAAACTTTAGTGACCTCAATAAAGGCAGATAATTCTTAAAGGAACTATCTAAATCAGAGGATTTTAATGAATTGTATTATTAACATGAATATGTTAGAAAAAAAGAAGGCAAACTTGTCACATATCTTGTAATTTCATAAATGTTATATGAGATTGTCATTTCAACTTTCTGAACCTTAAATAATAAAGTATATCAAATTAATTTTAAATTTTTATATAAAAGTAAAATTTGTCGAAGTTTCAAATACTCTTCCCAAGTATAGTAATAACTGAGCCAAAACTAGCTAATTCTTGGCTATCAAAGAACTATATAATTGTTAAAGATTATTGCTCTAAAGAAAAAAATTAATTAAGTAGTTACGCCAAGATCAGGTATATATCTGGTAGAATCGGTCTGGCTTCTGTTTTTTAGAGCGAGTTAAAAAGAATATGGGACATATATGCTAATGCTAAATAAAAATTGTTAGTAATAGACTAGATTGACCGGTTTGAAAAAATATTATGTAATTGAAAATCAATAATCTATAAAAGGAGTTGATGAAACTTAAAATAAAATGTATTGCAATTAGTTACATGCTAGTTGGATAAATAGAATCTCTTTGATACCTAGTTGGATAAATAGAATCTCTTTGATACCTAATTGTGAAAACCAAAAGTCGTGATGGAAACCTAAGAGACAGAGGAAGATGATTTTGAATATTATTACGAGATGATGGAGGATGATGAATGTTATAACAACAACAATGTTAATTTAGGAATTGCAGAAAGTTCGATTATTTCAACTAAGACTCTTTGTTCACTAACAGCTAATAATTCTAGCATTCAAACAACAACCTATTTGCCTACATCTTTAAAAAACAAAGAAAAAGATGTTAAATTATTAACAATAATAAACCCAAAAATTTTAGGAGTTTACTAATTTCCCGCCACTTCTGATTGGTTCTACTAATTATTCACATATCGGGATATCTGTACTATTAATCAATTTTATAGTACTCTGATAGTGAAATGGTGGAGGAAATTAGTAAACCCAAATTTTAGTATAGTATAACTAATAATTCATATTTTTTATTTTAGCTAACAAACCTGAAAATAAAAGGTGGTACAAACATAAAACCCCATCATTTACTCATAAATATTTCGATAAAGTTAATGATAAAGGTGAAGAGGCACGAGTTTGCAATATCATAAATGAAGATAGTATAAAATGTGGTCATAAATACAAAAACGTAAAAAGTTCAACGAGTAATCTTATTATACATCTTAGAGATAAACATGGAATCACTTCACAAGATAATATAGAAGACCCAAAAAAGATATTATAAATAAAATAATACTTATATATATTAATTGATTCATAAATGTTATTGATTTTTAGCTACAGAATTCCAAAATTACTGACTTTGTTTGAAAAGCCCATTCTTATCTTCCTTATATTCAAAAATGACGTGAAGAAATGCTTCTCAAATAGATGCTACTTTTTAATCAGCCTCTTTCAATAGTTACTAATGAAGCCTATAAAGAAAAAATAGCAGAATTTGACACTTCTTTTGTTATTCTGGAAGAAAAAAAAATCAGAACTATGATAGTTAAAAGTTACAAGTATAATCGTAAAAATTTAGTAAATTTTCTTATTCAAATGGCAGAAAATGTCTCTCTTACTATAGATTTCTGATCCAGCAGAGCCAAGCATGAATATTTAGGAGTTACGGCAACCTGGATTACACCAAACTTTAAAATTAAAGATATAATGCTTGAAAATAAATATGTTCCCTCACTGCATAATAGTAAAGTTATTGCGGATGAACTTCATAAATATATTAAATCTTGGAAGCTTAAAAATCAAATAACATCAATTACTACCGATAATGACACAAACATGGTTTCGACTTTTCCTTTATTAAATCAAAAAGATGGATGCAAAAGAATCAAATGTCTTCCATGTATGGCTTATACTCTTCAATTGGCAGTTGGAAAAGAATTAGCACTAGCAAAAATTCTAGTTGCACGTGCAAGAAGATTGATTCAGTTTTTTCAATACCAAAAACAAATTAAAAGGTTGGAGGAAATACAAGTGAAGCTTGGCTATGCAAATGTTGTTCATTGTATTCAAGATGTATCCACACGTTAGAACTCAATATATTATGCCTGGGATCGTCTTTTTTTTAAAAAAAAAATGCTATTATTTAGCTTCAAACTAACTTATATATATCAGTCGATTCGGATATTAGAAAATATGATAATAAATTAAAAAAAATTTTACTTTCAGATGACGAATG